CACTGCACTCCAGTCTGGGTGACAGAGTGAGACTCCAACTCAAAAAAAAAAAAAGACACAGACTCAGTGGTTTGTCTTGGGGAAATGTGCCCAGGCTTTTGCAGATTCTAAAATAGTGCATGGTTCTGACCCCTCGCCTGCTTTCAGGGACACCAGTCAAAAACCCTGTTGCCTTTCTTTCTACTCAGTGGGGAAGGGTTAGTTTCTTTCTTTCTTTCTTTCTTTCTTTCTTTCTTTCTTTCTTTCTTTCTTTCTTTCTTTCTTTCCTCTCTCTCTCTTTCTTTCTTTCCTTCCTTCCAGGACCACAGGTTCCATAGGAGAGAAACCTGGCCCCAATCTGGATTGCCTGAGTTTCCAGCAATTTCTTCAAATAGGCAGATCCCCAGAGTACGGGTCTCTCTCTCTCTGCAAGGGACAGCGGAAGGGGCTGTGAGCCCCAGGGCATAGTTAAGTCAGGCCTGTTTTCTTTTCTTTTTTCAGTCAGAGTCTCACTTTGTTGCCCAGGCTGGAGTGCACTGGCATGCTCATGGCCACCACAGCCTCAGTCCTGCTGGGCTCAGGCGATCCTTCTGCCTTAGACTTCCAAGTAGCTGGAAATACAGGCGTGCGCCACCACACCTGGCTAATTTTTTGATTTGTTGTAGAGACGAGATCTCGCCAAGTGGCCCAGGCTGGTCTCGAATCCCTGGGTTCATGCAATCCTCTCTCTTCCACCTCCCAAAGTGCTGGGGTTACAGCCTGAAGTTTCCCTTCAGTCCTAGCCTCTCCTCCACCCTCCTCAACTGTGTCAGAACCTCTCGGCCCCTTCTCCTGCCAAGCAGTGAAAACAGAGAAAAACCCTGAGGCTGTGACCACAGGGGCGGAGGAGGATCCGGCACCTGCCCGCTGCCCAGGCAGGAGATGGTGGCTTTCCTCTGAGGCCTTACTCTCTGCTTCTGACTTTTCTTGCCAACTGAATAACGCTGATAATAAGCTCCTCCTCAGAGAGGACAAACACAGCCTTGAGCCTCAGAGATACAGATGAGGAGAGGGGGAGTGGGAGCAGCTCTCGGAGCCCAACTATCCAAAAAGAAGGAACAGCTGAGGCCGGAGCAGGACAGAAGCTGCCCGGGAAGGAGGGGGCATGTGGAGATGCCCGTTAAGGAGCCAGGATGTTGGACCCCACGGGAGGAAATTAGCTCATACCCCCGAGGGACACGGTGGGCAGTTGGAGGAGAGGGGAGTCAAAACTACTGAAAGGCAAGAGAACTGGAGTTGAAAACAGGTCTGGCCGGGCGTGGTGGATCACGCCTGTAATCCCAGCACTTTGGGAGGTGGAGGCGAGAGGATTGCCTGAGCCCAGGGATCTGAGACCAACCTGGGCAACATGGTAAGACCTTGTCTCTATGACAAATCAAAAAATTAGCCAGGTGTGGTGGTGCAGGCCTGTAGTTCCAGCTACTTGGAAGGTTAAGGCAGAAGGATCGCTTGAGCCCAGCAGGACTGAGGCTACAGTGGCAGTGAGCATGCCAGCACACTTCAGTCTGGGCAGCAGATTGAGACTCTGACTCAAAAAAAGAAAAGAAAAGAAAAGAAAACAGGCCTGACTTGACTACGCCCTAGGGTTCACAGCCCCTTCCACTGTCCCTTGCAGAGAGAGAGACCAGAACTCTGGGGATCTGCCTATTTTGGAGAAACTGCTAGAAACTCAGGCAATCCAGATTGGGGCCAGGTTTCTCTCCTATGGAATCTGTGGTCCTAGAAGTTTAAAAAAAAGAAACAAGAACTAATCCTTCCTCACCGAGTAGAAAAAAAGGCAACAGGGTTGTTGGCTGGTGTCCCTGAAATAAATTTAAAAATTAACCAGGCATGGTAGCGTGCACCTGTAGTTCCAGCTACTTGGAAGGCTGAGGCGGAAGGTCAACACTGTGGCAGCCATGAGAGTGCCACTGCACTCCAGCCTCAGCCACAGAGTGAGACTCTGACTCCAAAAAAAAAAAAAAAAAAAAAGAAACTTCATACACATGAACTCTAGCCAGGGTCAGTTACATAATTTGTGGGGCCCAAGGCAAAACGAAAATGCAGGACCCCTTGTTCAAAAAGCAGGAAAAAAGTGCAATTTACATGACTAACATATAAAGCTTTTTCCTTTCTTCCACTGTCTCTCTTTTAACCTGTCATGGTCCCTTTTATTTGCTGTTTAATCTTGCACTCACTCCCTTGGCCATTTGAACACTCGTGTAGACCCTAACCGGCACCCAGGGGCCGTTCTCCTGATTCAGGGCATGTGTGCAGCCCACCAACCCCTGGAGTACCCTTCTCGCCAGCCGCTGACCTGACGTGTCACATCCTGGTGGCCGGCTGGGGACTGGTGACCCCCACGAGTGTCACAACCCCAGTGCCGCCTGCAGGCACCTGGATCGGGTGGGCAAGAGGCTTGTTCTCTCCCCCCAGCTGCTGCTACCCAGTGGGGGAGGAAAGGGAGGTCAGGAAGAGCCTGGGGCTCTTGGAGCAGGGGAGTGGACCCCCAAGAACCTGTCCTGGGGAGACAGAGGGGGTGGGGCTATGCAAGGAACTCTCTGGCCCATCCGCCATCGTCCCATTGAACTCCAAGTACAAAATACAGATTAAAAGATAACATCACGGGCTGGCTTGGTGGCTCAGTCTGTCATCCCAGCACTTTGGGAGGCCGAGGCGAGGGGACTGCCTGAGCCCGTGAGTCGGAGACCAGCCTGGGCAACTTGGCGAGACCTTGTCTCTACAACAAATAAAAAATTAACCGGGTGTGGTAGTGCGTGCCTGTAGTTTTGGCTACTTGGAAGGCTGAGACGGAAGGATCACCGGAGCCTAGCGGGTCGACACTGGGGTGGCCGTGAGCGTGCCACTGCACTCCAGCCTGGGTGACCGAGTGAGACTCCAACTCAAAAATAAAATAAAGATAACATCATGGAGAATTTCAATGGCGACCGAAGAGCCTTAAGCCCCGAGCGGGGGTCCTCTGGGATTGCACTGGTGACACACCCATGGAGCCCACCCTGGCCTAAGGGGATCACTTAAATACCCGTTTCTGTTTGGGTGCAAGCCCACCTGGCCACATGTGTTGTGTTGCTTTACCATGTTGTGGCTCTCTGCACAGTGACAGCCACATTTTCCCTCCCCCTTGGCCCTTGACCCTGTTTTCCTGAAAGCCTGTCTTTGTCTTCTCTTGGGGGTGAGAGTTGTGGAGAGACTTCAAAGCACAGGAACCCCCCTCCCCAGAAGGGTTCTGGGAACTTTCAGTGTCAGCGGGCGGGGTTGGGGACAGCCTGTCTTCCCTCTGGAAGCAGGTTCCTGTCTCAAGGTGGACAGAAGGCGTCCCTTGCTCGCTCCAGCCTGATCCAAGCCAAGAGTGTGCTGTCGTGGATTCTCTGCTTGGGCCCAGGCTCGGGAGGAGGCGGCACCTCTTGGGTGTCCAGCCACCACTCAGCCCACTCAGGCTCTGCTACCGAGAGCTTGCTCCAAGGCTCCAGCCCCTGTGAGCCCCGAGGAGTCACAGGGCATCTGGGAGGGCTTCACAGCAGAGGTGTGTGGAGCTGGACAAGGTGGGGAAGAGGCAGTGAGGGCAGGGAGTGTTGTGGAGAACAGGAAGCACTGGAGGTGAGACTTGAGGATGTTGGCATGAGGCCCCCAGCCAGGATGCGTGAGGGTGCACAGAGCAGCTGTCTCTGGTCCCCAGGCAAAGAAAGCTGCACTTTGTGAAGTAACTGGATGGGGTGAGCTTTTCTCTGGGCTTGGAAGGGGTGGAGACCCGGGCAGGGGGCCCCACCTGTGGCTCTGTGGGGCCTGACTGGAAAAATCATGTGTGTTTCTCAAGTATGTGGCATTTTCTCTGTTCATTTTGATAAAATTGAACTTCCCCTAGCAGAGAGGGACTGTGCAAGACAGGAATCACACCGTTTTATAGATGGTCTAACTGTGTCTTCAAGACCTTGCTTTTAAAAAAAGAAGAGAGGTGAATGGATTGCCTGAACCTGCGGGTTCGAGACCCACCTGGGCAACTTGGTGAGACCTCATCTCTACAATAAATCAAAAAATCAGCCGGGCGTGGTAGCACATGCCCGTAATTCCGGCTACTCGGAAGGCTGAGGCGGAAGGATCGCCAGATCCCGGCAGGTCGAGGCTGCAGGGGCCGGGAGCAGCCACTACACTCCAGTCTGGGCGACAGAGTGAGACTCCCACTCAAAAACAAAAAAAAGAGAAGAAGAAAAAGAGACGAGTCTTTATACCCAGAACCTCACTGATCATCATTGAGAGGAGCCCGAGTGGGATCCTGACCACTGTGAGGGAGGTCGGATGTCCTGTGTGAGGCTGTGCCACTCTCATTTTTTTTTTTTTTTTGAGTTGGAGTCTCACTCTGTCACCCAGGTTGGAGGGCAGCGGCACGCTCCCAGCCACCACAGTCGACCCGCTGGGCTCAGGCGACCCTTCCGCCTCAGCCTTCCGAGTAGCTGGAACTGCAGGTGCCTGCCATCACACCTGGCTAATTTTTTTGATTTATTGTAGAGATGTGGTCTCGCCAAGTTGCCCAGACTGGTCTCGAATCCCTGGGCTCAGGCAATCCTCTTGCCTCCGCCTCTCCAAGTGCTGGGATGACAGGTGTGAGCCTGCTCTCATACTTTAGGGCGTCTTTGTCTATTGTCTACTTGCAGGCAGGGACCAAGTGTTTTATTTACCTATGGATTTGCTGGACTATCCGGGGATTATCATACCCATTTTATAGATGAGGAAACTGGGGCTCAGAGAGGTTGAGTGAGTTGCAAAAGCTCTGTAACTTGTTCGCATCTATCGAGTATGGACTTTTGTGGCCGTATTGTAAACCTAGATATCAAGATGCCTGGATTCTCCTACTGAGTCTGTGTGGCATCCGGGCAAGCAGTGATGCTGATAACAGACATCCAGGGAGTTCTTGTGGCGGGTAGACATGCATATTTGGAACCAGGATGCCTGTAGAGGATCCTAGCCGCCTCTTAACTCGACAGGCTTTAGGCCCGGACTGCTGGAAGGTGGCGCTCCCTCACAGCCGGGTGGGTGCCCGTGGAACGGCAGTCCTGGGGGACGTCTGAGAGGACAGTGCTGTTGGTCATGAGGATGGTGCCGCCAGGTGGGTGCTGACCACCATGCTGGGGGGGTGTCCTGGGAGGTGCGACCGATAGGGTGTTCCTGGCATCTGCTCAGCTGACTCGCTGCTTACCCACCAAGGCTTGTGACTGCGTGGGAGGCTGCACGCTGCCCCCTAGGGCAAAGGGCCTGAATTGGTAGCTCCTGGTGGTTCGAGACCCATCTAGCTCAGAAAGACCCCAGGGCAGCAGCTTCCGGGGAGATGGGTGGAAGCAGCCAGACACCCACCCACAGAGAGGCCAGCGGGGACGTGTGATACTGGCAGGGTCCCAGTGCCAACGCGACGGATGAGCCTGGGCTCTGCAGAAACCACCCTGGGAGCTGGAATGGCAGGGCCGACCAAGAGAGGGGAAGGACAGAGCCTTGGCGTCCTGTCCGGCGAGATAGCCACCAGGCACCCGTGGCCATGTACATGTAAATGAATGGACGTTAGAAAAAACGAGAACTCGGTTCCTCAGTCTTATCCATCACGTTCCGATTGCCCGAAAGCCACATAGGGCTGGTGGCTGCCAGGCCAGACGGTGCAGATGGAAGACATTCCCATCACCGCAGAAAGTGCCATCTGAATGTAAATCATCTCATTCAGACTGTTTATATTGATTACCTATTGACATGACATTATGGATCTATGGAACAGAATGAGCTCTGATATCCCCATCAGCTTCACCTGTTTCTTTTTACGTGTTTTACCGTGGGTGATGGAAACTTGCCAGTTACCCATTCAGGCCACAAACTTACCTGAGCAGTGCTGTGTACACTGGGGGAAAACACCTGCATTTACTTATTGCTTTTTTTTTTTTTTTTTTTGAGTTGGAGTCTCACTCCATCGCCCAGGCTGGAGTGTAGTGGCACGCTCACGGCCACCACAGCCTCAACCCACTGGGCTCTGGCAATCCTTCCACCTCAGCCTTCCAAGTAGCTGGGACCACAGGTGTGTGCCACTACACCCAGCTAATTTTTCTTGACTTATTGTAGAGACACGGTCTTGTCAAGTTGCCCAGGCTGCTCTCTCACCTCTGCCTCCCAGGGTGCTGGGATAACAGGCACGAACCACCATGCCCGGCACTACTTATTGTTTCTGATACCACATCCGTTTGGTGGCACTCGACTGAATGCTGGCTGTAAAAACCCCTTCTCAACAGTAAGGTGACTGAGGCAGCCCAGGGTCATGCGACAAGTACGATTTTGGAGCCAGGAAAATTGAGGTCCAGATCTCAGCTCCATCCCCCTACTAGCTTTGGGATCTTGGGCAAATGACACGCCTCAGTTTTCTCATCTGAAGAATGCAATCAGTGAACGATCCACCACACAGCACTGCTTTGAATGTTGGAAGAGACCATGCATGCGCAGGGCTTGTACAGGTTTCCACAAAGCCCGGAAAAAGGTCGCGTTGTCATCGTGAGCATTTTTTATCGTGAAAGTGCGGGAGCTAGGATCAGTTTCTCTGGCCTCAGACTCTACTACCCACCCCTGGCCTTCCGCACCCCCAGCCCTCCGCCAAGCCCCTGGGCGCGGCCCGGGCACTCACCTGCTGGCAGCTGCTGGCCCAGGAGGCGCGGAGGGCGCCCCAGCCCCCCGAGCGCGTGGCCTTGCTCTCCAGGTGCATGCGCAGCTGTGCCTCCAGCTCCTGGCTGACTTGCTCGAGCGCGTGCACCTTGGCCATGTATTCCACCAGGCAGCCCCCCAGGTCCTCGACGGCAGTGTGGTCCCTCTCCAGACCCGGAGCGGGCACCGTGGCCAGGCCTGAGCTCCTCAGGCCCTGCAGGAAGACGCTGCTGATGCCCAGGGCCCGGCGAGTCACACGGGCACCCAGGCCACCTATGCAGCCGCTGGGCGCGGTCCCGACATAGACCCCCGGCGCTCGGACAAGACCACTCGCGGCATTGGTCCTGGAGGCCGGGGGGCTGTCCAGGGAGGACGACGACCGTGGCCCCCTGAGGGACGCCCTGCGCCTCTGGAGGGGCATGCCGGCACCGGGGCCGGTGGGCACGTCCACCACCACTCGCCTCTCACTCATCACCCCTTCTGCTCTGCGGTGCCCAGTGGGTTCACAGAGCCAGTGGCTTTTGGTTCACAGCCCCAGCATCCCTGTGGCCTGGTCACGGGCCTCTCTGGAAGCTCCCCCATCCCCGGGCTGCATTGTCTGCTGTCTTCCATGAGTTTCTATCATTCACTGAGCTGAAAGAGAAATGGCTCTGCCCAGGGCTGTGTGCAGAGAGGCGCTCATGCATTCTTTGATGGAGGGTCATGTGCCCAACCTCCCAGATTTTTCTGCTGGTGGTGGGGGAGGTTGCATCAGTGCAGGCTGTGAGGGTGAGTCATCTGGGTTTGTGAATTTCACCACCTCAGAGCCGGCAAGGCAGGCACCAAGCAGCCCCATTTCACAGATAAGTAAACTGAGGCTTGGGGACCTCAGGCCACAGATGACCACCTGCCTTGGACCTCAGATTGCAAGTGAGGGCTCAGCCTAGGTGTTTCAGGGCCAGCGTCTGGGTTTCGTGCATGCCCACATGCGCTGGTGTATGTGAGTGTGAACGCGTGTCCCCAGGTAACAGGGGATGAAAATGGACAAGGCTGCCGTGGCAGGAAGCAGCCTCAGGGCCCCGAGAGAAACAGGCCTGCCTGTCGGTCCCGGCAGTGTCTCCAGGCTTTCCCTGGCGTTTCTCCCCGTCCCTCCTCATCTCTGCCCTTTGATGCTCTGCCTGATGGTGGCTGCATCCCTTCAGCCCTCTGGCCTCACCGTCCACACACCAGCCTGACTCGAGCCCTGCTGCATGAGGCGAGGGATCTTGGGCAACCTCACGGCCCATGCATAGCGATGGTCAGGCCGTTCCCTATCTTTCTGCTTCCCCATCTGTCAGATAACTAACACATAAAAACAACAAGAAGAGTGTTTTCTGGTCAGCTCTCCAAAGGTGTTTCAGGTTAAGATTTGATGATACCCCCTGGGGATCAGTTCCTGCTCTGGATATCTGCTAGGCTGTCAAAGGTCACACCTTGCTCACCCTGCCAAGATCAGAAAGGTTCCTCTGGAGAGACGAGGTAACCAAAATCCAGAGCTGGACATTTATCTCAGATCCGGTAATGCAGGAGTAGCTCACAAGTGAGAGAGTGTCCCGTTCTGTCCCAGGGTGGGCATGAACCCATATTTTATTTCACTGAATTCTCAGCTCACTTAGGAGGAGGGGGGTCCAGGATTGACATGTTCTGCTGTCTGGGTTGTGTGCCTTGCAACTCCTAAAGTATTGTCACCTGTTTTCCAACTGTCTACGATTCCCTTATGTGATGGGGACACTCAGAGCTGCAACGACGTGCCCAAGGTTCCATGTCCAGAGGTAGCAAAGCTGAGATGAGGAGGCCTTTCTGACCCTAGGCCAGTGACTTATTCTGGACCTCCCTGTTGCCTACCATCCAGAGAACAGGGCACCCACCAAGGTCACACAGATAAAGTTAAAGAACCTGGAAGTCTACTAGAATACTCTGTATACTCTTCCTGCTGATGAGGACACCACACTCTTTCCTCCTTTTTTCCTTCTGCTTTGTTGATGAACATCAGTGTTGGTCATTTGATGAACAGGTAGGGAACCAACCAGTTGGGTGAGGTGGCTCATACCTGTCATCTCAGCGCTTTGGGAGGCAGAGGCGAGGGACTGCCTGAGTCCAGGGGTTCGAGACCAGCCTGGGCAACATGGTGAGACCTCATCTCTACAATAAATCAAAAAAT